CTTCTATAAATCATTCTAGGATAGACTTCCAGTTGAGATTAAATTTAGTAAAATAAATTGATGTGATCATGCTTAATCTCGCAGATCATTGATTTACTAATAAATCACAGATTAATGATGCAGAAAATTCAAAATATCTTGATGAATTTCCATAGATCTATTCTAAAATGCTATATGATCTAAGAGTGATGAAGTGCTAAATGAATGCTCAGTTGATTTAGTTATAACACAAATGTAAATTTTTGGGGAAGTATTTGTATCAATGGTTTAAAAAAAGGATCGGTGACCCGGATCGAGCACCTAAAAAACTGATCCGGATCGGCGAATCGGCGATCCGGATCGAGAATCGGCTGAATCGGTCGGATTAAAACTTCAAAAAAATCCGAAAAAATTATAAAAATTCATTATAAATGTTGTTTTTTAGGAATCCAATAAAAAATGAGGGTACTACATTATTAACTTTCATTTTTTTTTATCAATTTGTGAATATTGCGATGTTCTTTCCCTGTATAAACTTATTTTAACTATTAAATTTGCATCACATAAAAGATAAATCATAGAATTATCATGGATAAAACATATAATTATATATGGACTATTATAAATAGTACACTACTCAATGAAAGAATGGCCATTAAAATCTCGTTTTGGCAAAAACCCTAACCCGCTAAAAAAACCCAAATTATTACAGCCTAACTAACTATAATCCAAAATTATTACAACCTCACTAATTATAATATTATATACTGAAATTATAATTATTAGTTTACATTTTATAATTATTTTATTAGATAAATAACAAAATAAAAATATTTTATAATATTATCTAATTTAAAATGTATTATTGACAACTGTAAGAAAAATAGTACATTACATGATTTATAAAGTAAAAATTCATAAATAAAATAAAAGATTTGGTTATCAATGTAAAAATTAATAAAATGCGTACAAATTTTGGAAATAACACTTCAATTTTTCAAAAATTTATTTTTTTAGGTTTCTATAATAAATTTAATAAAAGAGATTGTTAGTAGAAAGATGGAGATTTCAAATAGAATAAAATTTTTATTTTTATTTTTTTTATACCTTTCATATTATTTACAAAAATAATTATACCACTATATACAACAAAAATTAACTGTTATATAAAAAATTAATTTTTTTATTTTTATTTTTTTATGTCTTTTATATTATTTACAAAAATATTTATATTTATACCAACCACTATATATACAAAAAAAATACAACACATGCCCAAGGGGATTCGAAAACGCCATAATATTTCCCCAAGGGGATTCGACATTGGGACATCAAGTAAAAAAATCAAAATCATAACCATCAAGCCATCTAACTACATGTAATTATAAATTGCTGATTAATAGACTATATTTACATTTCGTTTTCATTTAATGATGTTTGAGAATTATCCCACATCAAAAGATGGGTATTCAACTTTAGTATATAAATACCTATGCAATATGAACAATAAAATGTGTAAAAATATTAGGGCAACCTCACACGTGTGAGTGTGTGTGGGGCACGCTTACACGTGCACTTGGACACACGTGTGCACGCACGAGTGTGCACGTGTGGGTGCATGGGGCACACTCGCATGTGCACGTGGACACACGTGTGTATGTGTGAGTGTGCATGGGGGCACGCTCGTACATGCGCTTGAACACACGTGTGCGCGTGTGAGTGTGCATGGGGCACGCTCGCACTTGCGCTTGAACACACATGTGCGCGTGTGAACCGGATAGAACCGGCGGTTCCACTCTAGAACCGGGTGGTTCCCGATTTTTGTTTGGAACCGGCACGGGCACGCGTGTTTTCGAGTCGAACCGAACGAGTCCGGTTAGACTCGCCGTTTTTAAAAACACTGACTTGTATACATGTAATTTTGTCATTTTAGTAAACGAAAGAGTTTATATAAGGTTGCAACCTTAAAACGTAGAACTACGGATACACCTCAAAAATCCATCGAAAAATATTATTTTAATGTTTAAAAACCCTCTAATTGAGCATCTCGACATCGAGATATATGATTATGAAAGAAAAAATGATTTTGAGTCCCAGAAATAGTGCGTCTTACAACACATTATCTAGACCATCCATTTTTTAAAATTCATATGTTTATAGATCTACTTGATTTTAACTATTATTGAAGTTTAAAATTTTATAATTAGATATGAAAAAATAGATTTTGAGATAATCCTAAGCATATTTTACATCAAAATTATATGTTATGATCATATTTGAAAATGCGCCTTAATTGGATTGTTTAAGGTTGCAACCTTATGAATGCCACACCCTTTAGTGAACTTATGACTAAATTTTTTTGTTATTTAATTTGTTTGGAACTTTGGAAATTGTGAAACCACGCAGTTAAGCTAAACACATACAACTAGATGCTGGGCTTTTTCAGCATCACTTAAGAAATACAACAAAAGAAACAATTTTTTTGTTTATTTTTATTGCAGCACAAAAATGCTGATTAATCACTAATATTGCCCAAATTTGTGTTTGAATGTTATGATCTCTTAGCACGGGTGTGTGTTTTAATAAAAATTTAACTTTTTTCACTCCTTTTTCTCTTTTGAACTACTCTCCCACACGATATGTTTTCTTCTTCATGAGACAAGCATTAACTTTGCCCTGTACTGCTCAATCTGACATGAACTTTACATGTTCTTTTATTCTCAAGGATTTTTGGTACCATTGTATTCTTATTATTCATTTTATTTCAGAAAAATATCAATGTTATTGCCATGACGTAGTTTCAGGATTCATGATTAGACGTGGAAGAGCATGCATATTTATGCTCTTTCCTCTTCAAAAGCAACTTCAGAAATGTATAGGGTCAAGGTACTTTCAACAATAATAATAATATAAGAATAATAATAAAAATAAATAATTATCTACTAAGTAGTATTTGAATTAGAGCTCCACTAGATAATATTAGTATTTGAATTAGAGCTCCACTAGATATTATTCCCTTATCATGTAATTTTGGGTTTTTGGACACCAACATAGATACCCTAATTACTTTGGTGTTTTGGACCAAAACTGAGCTATTACCATAGTAATGGTCCCAAAAACTTTAAGACTTTGAATATTTTGCTGAAGCATTTGAAGTTGAATTTGGGTTGGGTTACTAGGAGTTGAGATTGTACTTTGCAAGTCCGACTTTTTTTCGGTTAAATGAAATTATAATTTATCTATAGCAATTAGTTGTGAAATTTATTTTAAATAGTGAATCTGGTTAAAAGTACCGAGCCACTCCATTTCACGTCTAATTGTCAAAATTGATTGTGACCTCTATATGCTAAAATAAATGGAAAATTTTTTTATGCAAGCTGGAACGCATTTCTACCTATGCGGTCCAAATATGTAAAGCATCCATCTTAAAGATGGATGTAAGTAGGTTTTTCATCTAAAAACAATGGAAACTAACGGTCCAGATATTTTTTACTAAAATTATTAATTTTAATTTTTAAAATTTACTCATATTCATGGTCTCCTTATTAAATATTATATATCTTTAAAATTTAAGTTCAAAAATCCTTCTAAAAAATAGATTTATTATTAAGCCCGCATTTCTAAATATTTGGGCTTGACCCGGCCCAAAATAAATTCGCTAGTCATATACTTATTGGGAGTGATATCATGGATTTCGGCAACAAGTCTCCTTGACCATTAATGATGTCACCAAGTTTCCCACTCGACGAGTCTAAAGCCAGCCTCGTAAAGTGGAATATGACACCCCATAAACGACTTTGACTGATTGACATGATCATGAGAATGGTGACCTCGAATACATCTACCTCCAAGGCTGATGTGACATCTTTTACGCACCCGGTTTTTATGCGGCCAAGCCCGCATAAGTAGAAATGCGGGCTTATTAATAAATCTGTTTTTAAGATGGATTTTTAGATTTAATTTTTAAAAACATGTAATCTCTAACCCAGAGATCATGAATATAAATAAATAAATAAATTTAAAAATTTATAAATAGTAATTAGAATAAAAAAATATTTTGGACCTATTAGTTTCTATTTTTTTTAAAATAAAATACTTGAATCCATCTCCAAGATGCTTTTTTTTTTTTTAAGAAAAAGTTTATATAAGATTGCAACCTTATAATATAGAGCTACATATGCACCTCAAAAATCCATTGAAAAATACAGTTTTTAATGTTGAAAAACCCTTTGATTGATCATCTCGACATCGAGATGTATGATCATGAAAAATAAAAAGATTTTAAATCTAAAAAATAATGTATTTTACAACATATTATTTACACTTTCTATTTTCAAGATTTTCATATGTTTATCAATCTACATGATTTTAACCATTTTTTAAATTTAAAATGTTATAATTAAATATAAAAATAAATTTTGATATAATCCTAAAAACATTTTAGGAATAAAATTTGATGGTGCACCTTACCTCTACAGCTAAGGATGCATCCTTATGCCAACTGCACTCGTTTTTTTTAAATAGAACACTTGAATCCATCTTTAACGTGCCGCATGCGTTGTCCTGAGGTCCAGTCCGCATGAAACAATTTTCCATTTTTTATTGAGCGTCTTTCGACTCGTTGACTTCATGAACTATCTATGGATAGGCAATACAGATGGATACAGAAAGAGATTGAGCTTACACATTTACATTTAGAAGGAGAGAGATGCAGGATTTAGAGAGAGAAGGATTTTCAATGTGGATATGTAATTGGTAAGTGTTTTGCAGCAAAGAGAGAGAGAGAGAGAGACTCTGGTTTTTTTTTAAGCTTTTGTAGGGTTTTAGTGAGAGAGTGTGAGAGGTTATGTGAAAGAATTGCAGAACAGGGAAATTACAGTTTTGAGGGAGGGATCGCATATGAAGGTTTTTTAGACACAGAGGATTGCAGCGAAGCATCAAGGTATTTTAGAGAGAGAATTACATTGAACAAGGTTTTTCTAGAGAGAAAGGGTAAGAGATATGCCTATTGCAAGTAAACCTTTCTCTCTCCTCATCCTCATCCTCTTCCTCTCCCTTCTCGCCCAAGCTCCCACTCCCTTCTCTCATGCCCTCCTGCCCATAAACAAGCCCTCCTCCTCTTCAAAAACGCCATTTTCTCACCCAGTAACTCTTCCAAGTCTGAAGACCCCATTTCTGATCTCTCTTCATGGCTCCCTACCACCTCTTGTTGCAAATGGCCTCGCATAACCTGCAACTCTGCTCGCTCCGTTAAAGCGCTAGACCTCAGTTATCTGGTTCCATTACCAGTTCCCCCTTCTTTCAACCCCACGACCAGCTCCATAGCCCCCCTCTTCACCATTAAGACTCTGATCAAACTCGATCTCTCCTATAATTCTCTGGTGGGTTCTATTGCATCACTTTCTCTCTCTAACCTCACTAAGCTAGCCTACCTTGACCTGAGCTCCAATAGCATCAATGGCTCGATACCAGATTGGCTATTCTCTCTCTCCTCTCTCTCTTATCTGGACCTTTCGGCGAACCAGCTAACTGGAACTCTCTCCCCCGCCATTCAAAACCTCTTGAAGCTGAGTTTCCTCAGCCTCGACGAAAATGATTTGGAAGGCAAAATCCCTGTCAAGATTGGCAATTTAACAGAGCTTCGCACTCTCTCTCTAAGGGACAACAAGTTTTCAGGTGAAATTCCTGCCGCTGTAGGGGATTTGACTAACCTTTCCTCTCTCTCTTTAAGCAAGAACCAACTTTCTGGTCAGGTTCCAGAGACTTTGGGGAAAATTCGGCGACTGGAGACTCTACAACTCGATGATAACAAACTCTCCAGCGGTATTCCGGCGTGGATTTTCAGCTTAAGAGTCTTAAAAACCTTGAAACTTGGTGGTAATCAACTTATATGGAATTTGGACGGAATTTCCCCTAAGTGTCAGCTTGAGAGGCTCTCGCTTAGGTCTTGTAAAATGGCGGGAAATATTCCAAACTGGCTTTCAGGCCAAAAAAGCCTCAATTTTTTAGATCTCAGTAATAATGATCTTGAAGGTGAAATTCCAGCCTGGCTTCCTGATTTAGATGTTGGAAATTTGTTACTCTCTGGCAATAAATTGACCGGAGAACTTCCTGGTTCGCTTTTCCAGTCTTTGAAGCTGTCGATCTTGGATCTTTCGAGCAATGATTTTAATGGAAAATTGCCTGAAAATATTGGCAATGCAACAAATATTATGATTCTATCATTGAATAACAACAATTTCAGTGGACCTTTACCAGAATCCATGGCCAAAATTCACAGGCTTTTGATGCTTGATTTGTCGGAAAATGAATTTTCAGGAGATAAATTTCCCGTGTTTGATCCCAATTCGTACTTAGCCTACGTTGATATGTCTGCAAACAAATTCTCAGGCCAAGTTCCAACCAGTTTTGGTCGACAAATGAAGGTCCTGGCTTTAGGGGGAAATCTACTTTCCGGTGAGATTCCGGCCAACTTGACTGAAATGGACCAGTTAGAACACCTTGATCTTCAGAATAACAAACTTTCCGGTGATTTTTCTGAATGGATCATGAGAATGTCAAACCTTAGGGCTCTAAACCTTGGGAACAATCTCCTCGTAGGTCAGATTCCGACCAATTTGTACAACCTCACAAACCTCAGGATCCTTGACCTTTCAGGCAACAGACTCGCCGGAAATATCCCTCCATCTGTCGTAAATCTCACTGGAATGTCATCTCTGCCCGGAACTCTGAACGATGCCCTTGATATCTTCACTTTCCCCATCGATTTCCAGGATGTGGTGATTAACTGGAAGGGAACATTTCGATCTATAGCAACTCGAACCCTAGATTTCTACTTCATCATGGACCTATCGGCGAATCGGTTTTCCGGTGAGATCCCAGCGGGTTTAGGCCAGCTAAAAGCCCTGAAGATCCTGAACGTGTCTCATAACCTTCTGGTGGGTCAGATCCCAGCGAGTCTCGGCCAATTAGAGGAGCTCGAGGGCCTGGACCTGTCAGACAACCAATTTTCCGGGGAGATTCCGGCCAGTCTCGGAAACCTGGGTTTTCTCACTCGATTCAACGTCAGCAGTAACCAATTAGTGGGTCAGATTCCGAGTAATCGTCAGATGTTAACCTTCGGCCCTGAGGATTTCGCGAATAACAGTGGATTGTGTGGTTCTCAGATAGAGAAGCCATGTGCCTTTGCAGAGAGCCCTAGGGTTCCTCTAGGGTTTGATGGCAATGGCGATGCAGAAGACGACACTTCCTGGTTCGAATGGGAAGGAGCAGGCATAGGATTTGCGGTGGCTTTCGTTTTGGCGATTTTAGGGTCCATATGTTTCGGCCTTCCGTTCCCTGAAATGCCGAAACGTTGGCCCCTTGATCGAAGACTTCACGCTGCGATATTTCGGGGATGAGGGAGCGGATTTCGTCAATACTTCGTCCCGACATGTCAGATGCCTTGCAAGTAAAACGTAGAAGCTTCTTGAGACCTTAGTAACTTTTTAGTTGAGGATTTAGGGTAATTCAGACTTTAGTAACTTTTGAGTCGATAAGTGCAAAAATATGTGTATTAAAGGCATGGATAAATAAAAAATAAACATTGCAAGGCATATTTGCAGGTTGCGACCAACTAACCATTAGCTCTGGGTTGCTAGTTGGTTTTCTCGCTCTATTCTATTCTATTTTATTTTATTTTTAGGACGAAAATTACCTTCACTGTAGTCGTTTTATTGTAATTAATATTAAGTTTTACAATAATTAAAATATCGTGATAACTTGAAGTAGTATTACAGTAATTAAAATAAAAAAATTATTGCTAATATACTTATATTTTACTATAATAAAAAAAAACCCCAATTTTTCAAAACCTCACCGACACCATTTCTCACAATTTTTTGTTTTTTTTTTTTAGCAAAATAACCTTCACGGTAGTCCTTTTACCGTGTAAAAAATATTTCGGTAATTTCAATACCGTAATAAGTTGAAGGAGTATTACGGTAATTAAAATACCGTAATACTTTAAAGTAGTATTATGGTAATTTAATTAAGGTAATATTGCCCACGCCTCATTAAAAGAACACAAAATATTTTTTACTCTCTCGGGAGTCTACTATTTATTTACTCCCTCCACAAAAATCCATGCTAGCTGTATCTTTCAAAACTCAAATTTTTAGGATATAATCTCTACTACTTATAGAATAATTTCAGCAAGATAAATTTTCCAGGTAAATTATTATGTGTGTTAGAAAAACCTACCACTTCAAGATTTCAAACTATCCAATTTTCAAATAGCTAGATTTAAGTGTCACATAACTCACAATTCAATTCTTTCAAAAATAATTTAGTAATTTTTATATGGTTCTCAAAATTTTAGAATAAAAACATTATTAAATAGGTATTTTTGAGTGAGGGAATAAATCCACATTGTTCTCCCATGAGAACATGGATTTTTTGAAAAATAAAGAAGACTACCGTGAAGGGAGGAGAGGGGTAGCTTCGGTTTGAAGCTTTTGAAAATATTATGGTAATAAGAATACCGTAAAGACTTCCCCACACATTACGGTAATTAAATTACCGTGATAATAATTCAAACTATTACCGTATTTAAATTACCGTAATACTCTTTAAATTTTTTAAAGCTTAAAATGTATTATGGTAAAATGACTAACGGGAATGTCATTTTGGTCCAAAAAAGCTAAATTTTGTAATAAAGGGTATAGGCGAGGTTTTGAAAAGTTAAGGGTTTTTTTTCGATTTTACTAAAATAAAGGTATATTAGCGATAATTTCCAATTAAAATATCGTAATAACTTGAAGTAATATTACAATACTTTAAGTATCGTAATAGATAACATTTTATTTATGGCATTATTTCCACTGTAATTAAGCAAATAGCGGGGGGAAGTTGAGAGAAATAGATGTACGTGGGATTAAAAGTGCTGGATAAAATGAGTTAAACATTAAGATAATTAAAGTACCGTATAAAATGGAAATATTACGGTAGAAAGAGTGTCGTAAATAAAATGTTATCTATTATGGTACTTAAAGTACCATAATACTACTTCAAGTTATTACGGTATTTTAATTACCGTAATAGTACTTAAAGTTATTACGGTATTTTAATTACCGCAATATTACTTAAAGTTATTACAATATTTTAATTGCCGTAAAATTTAATATGAATTACGGTAAAACGATTACCGTGAAGGCCATTTTCATCCAAAAAAACGAAAAATGAATAAAAAGGGTGCAGACGAGGTTTTTAAAGTTGGGTTTTTTTTTTCCAATTAAGCTAAAATATAGGTATTTTGTGATAATTACCCTTATTTTTAAAATGTTTTCATCTTAACTCCAAATAGTTGGGATAAAGCTTACATGATATCGATGATGAACATTTATATCTTTTAATTCAAAATTAAAAATCCAAAATTCCAAACATCAATGTACTATATTGTATTTTCCCCTAAAATGCGTTTCTTGGTGGCATATTTTGGCATAGGGGTGCAGTTGGCATACGAATGCATCCGTAGCTATAGAGGTAAGGTGCACCTTCAAATTTTATCATGGTAGATAATTTTGATGTAAAATGTTATTAGGATTATCTCAAAATCTATTTTTATATCTAATTAAAAAATTTAAAAAATTGTTAAAATCAAGTAGATCTATAAACATATGAAAATCTTGAAAATGGATGGTGTAGATAATATGTTGTAAAATGCACTATGTCTGAGACTTAAAAATATTTGTATTTTTCATGGTCATCCATCTCGATGCCGAGATGATCAATCAAAAGGGTTTTTCAACATTAAAACTGCCTTTTCCGGTGGATTTTTGAAGTGCATCCGTAGTTCTACATTATAAGGTTGTATCCTTATATGAACTATTTCCTTTGCCATACACCCATTATTTTGAAATTACAAGCGAGAGGAGTAAGACGTTCATTTATTTAAAAAATATTATTGGATATTATAAATTTATAATAGATATTTATCACTTAAAATAGTTTTAGATATTCAGGGCTTGTTTGTTTATTATTGATAGTTCACTATTTCACTAGAATTTATCCTAATAATGACCTATCAGATTAACTTAGGGACACGATTTCTATGCAACCAGCTAACATATTGTAGAAATACGGGCTTGACAATAAATATATTTCTTAAATATAATTTGATCCTAAGTTTTGAAGAATACATAATCTTTAATATGGAGATCATGAACATGAAAAAAATATTAAAAATTATAAATAATAATTATATTAAGAAAATATATGGACAGTTAGTTACCCTTATTTTTAGATGAACCACCTATTTGCATCAATATTAAAGATGGATGCTTTATACCTCTGGACCGTATATTTAGAAATGCGGCCGATCCCGCATGAAACAATTATCCTTAACTTATAGGCCATTTTACATATACATATATATTTTTTAAAAGTTTTTATTACTTTATTCAAACTAATCTAATAAAATTACATATTTTTAGCCACAAACACTAATTGTTTTTTGAGAATGTAAGATAATTAAATAACATTATACATAATATAATATATGTACCAAACGTCTAATAGGGTATTATTATTACGAATATATTAATTTTAGATAAGATAGTTTATTCCAAAAAAAAAAATTAAGTTTTGTTGTTGAAGAATCCGGATGTTAAATTCCTCTTGTATATAAAGGAAACGATAGGGAATGTCCAATCGACAACAAACCAAACATTCATTACAAAGAGGAAAATTGTTTCATGGGGGCTGGACCGCATGAATACATACGCTGTCTAATCCATTTTAAAGATTGATCCTTAAAAAAAAAGTCCATCTTGAAGATTGATGCAAGTAGGTGTTTCATTTTAAAACAATAAAAATTAACGGTCCAAATGTTTTTTTATTAAATTTATTATTTTTAGTTTAAAATTTACTTATTTTTTTCGAATTCATGATCTTCATGTTAGAAATTACATATTCTTAAAAATTAAGTCCAAAATTCCATCTAAAAAATAAACTTATTAATAAGCCCGCATTTCGACATATGCGGGCTTGGGTGCATAGAAACCGGTTCCTTATAAAGATGTTTGTAAAATAACTCTAGGCTCAATACATTCTCATTGAGAACTTTACTAACAATTACACCATTTGGGATATTATACAACGACCAAAACATCATTGTACAAGGCAACCTCATTGCTCTTCACTAATGGCCCTCACTGTACAATCTCAATGCTTTTCACCTATGACCCTAACCGTACAGTCTCAATGGGTTTTCATTCTTTTTTTTTTTTTTAAGGTAAAGTCCTTTTTTTTTTTGGGGGTAAAGTGGGGATTATGATCCACAGTTTGTTTGTTAAAATAGTCAATTTTTTAATCTGTTAGTGAAAATAAGGGTCAAAACCTTTAACCAGGGTTTAGGTTTTGCTACCACCCCAACCCGACCCCATTCCCAATCATAGACATAATTGAGTTAAAAACATCCTTCTTAGCAAGTGCATCTGTCTCATTGTTATCTTCCTTGCACACATGCCTAAACTCCACCTCCGAGTTAGATACAAGTCCTTAATTTCAAACAGTAGAGGCTTGAACTTTCAGGGGGGACATCGAGTGAGTCACCTTCAATAAGAACCTTACTTGGAGTTGGGGTAGCACACCCCTTATAGAAGAGCCCTCGACTCCACCTCATCTGTAGTTATTTCTCTACCAGGACCGTTGAGGGAGAGGATCATACCATCCTCGCGATCTCAAAAAATCCACCCCAACCTGTATCGGGTTACCTAAAGCCCATATGGTGAGAGCAGGTTCTATAAAATTTGCAGCTTCAGGGGCTCATTCAAATTGAATAGAACTCAATAAATCATATTACGTTCCCTGATGAAACTCAAGACATCATGTTGTTTTACCCGCCGCGCTGACCACCTATACTTTGAATTTATTTTTGTGCAATACCTATTTTATCAAAAAAAAGGAAAACATCTACTATCGAGGCATAAAGGTCAAGAGTGTATCCTCCTTGAGAGTGGAGGAAATATTTTGACTTGATTTCAAGCTGATCTGATTGAGAATCTACCATCCTCATTATATTCCCATATAAGCTCCACATCTGCATGTGGATGATAATATCAAGGATGTTAACTTAAAACTTATTTTTTTAATCGCAATATTTTTCATATTTTGCATCAAGATATTTTTTTTATTTTATTGTGAGGATTCCCTTTTTACCCAAAATAAGGTAATATACGTTGTAAACCTTGTTAGTTTACTTTATTGTAATACAGTAAAAACATTTCCCATTTATCGGAGAGAATTGTCATTGAGATTAGAACACATTGGTCATCCAAGAAAGAAAATATCAAAATGACAGCGATAACAAACTTTTATTCAATCACTGTTTGAAAAATAATCATCACAAGCAAACAACCCAATATGAGCAATAAAAAAAAGAAAAAGAGAAGAAACAACCCAATATGATCTCATATACAAAGACAACCATCGTGCCTTTAAATCCACGACCCCGACACATTCTCAATAAATAAAATAAAATAATAATTTTTAATTCAAATTAGGCGATTCGAATCTAAATCAATACTTTATAAAAACCCTAAAATAAAAAATAATAGCGGCAAATCATATGTACACTCAAAATTACCACCAAGTTCGGCTCTTTTTTTTTTTCGCGCTTTCATGAGATCTCGTGGGGTCAGAGAGAGAGAGAGAGATGAGTGGAACAAATTTGGAGAGAGAGAGAGAGAGGCGTGTGGCTTCAAATTTGTAGAGAGAGAATGGCGCATGTTTTTACAATTCGAGAGAGAGAGAGAGAGAGAGAGAGGAGGTGGTCGTTGTTGAGATAAATAGTAGAGAGAGAGTGAGCGCGAACGAATACTACAAATTCTAGAGAGAGAGAGAGAGTTGGGTCACTCTGCACGCTGCAGCAAGAAGTGAAACGCGGAGTTGTGGCGCAGCAATGGCGGGGGCTCCACCTCTGATAAGCTTATGTCCAATACAGATCGAGATATGTCTTCCAGCGAAAATGGTATGCTGCATTTCCATTCATTTAAAAAAGATGAACCTAATGAGAAATATTGTGAATTTCAGGGATTTTTTTCCTTAGATCGATAGGGCTTTTTTCTATTCTTAGTTGATTATTTGTGGGATGTTACGATTTTACTGTTTTTGTTAACTTTACCTTGAATCATCATCCAGTAGGAATGAATCACTGGGCATGCTTGCTGATTCTTCTGCCATTAGAGCTCTCATCTTGCTTATAACCTGGAAAATGGGTTTCAGATAGAGAAATTAGGGTTTTCCGTTTGTGAGTTTTTTCTAGTTTGGTGCAAAAACAGCTCAAAATCTTGCTGAAAATTTGCAAAATCTACATTAGGTTCCGAGAATTCGGTTTATTCTTGTGGTGGGATTTGTGAGTTTTAATTGAATCTTACTTCAGGAGATAGACCCTGTGTGCCGTATTTGTCATCCCAGAACATGGTACCTATTCGATAAATTTGTGGTATGCTCAACACCTGCAACAAACGCACAATTTTTATTTTTGAAATTTAGTAAATGAACTGAGAAATCCATAGAATGTATAAATTGAATTTCACTAATTTGTGTTTATTTCTGTATTTTTATTTTTACTTACTGGGTAGAGTTCTTTTGCGATCTCGTCCAGTGATTTCTGAGGCTTTTGATGTGCAACCTGCACAAAAGTCATCTAATCTTCACTGATATGTATTCAACATGGCTGCTCTTGGAGCACGTTATGAATATTCAATATTGGGTGGAAAAGTAAAGTGTTTTGTCATAAATTCAGATTTTCCAAAATTGCAAGCAGTGCGTTGTGCTGGTTTCTCTCTCTCTCTCTCTGTTATTCTGGGATAACTTTGTTGGGAATTTAACCCTACATACCAGAAATCCTACAGCCTGACGGATGTGCTGAAGTTCATCCCAGGACGTGCCAACAAACTGCAATTAAGAATGTGAGAGTTAGAAGAGAATAGACTTGTGTTTATTTATTAATTTTATTTAGTTATTTATTATTACTAGCACTACTAGTACTGCTACTCCTACTGTTACTACTACTTCTACTATTACTAATGTGACAAAGATGATGACACCACCACCACGGTCACCATCACTATTATTATTATTAGTATTATTATTTGCTGATAGACTAGAGGAGCCTTTCATGGAGAGATAAGTTGTTCTGATTCTCGTCATACTTCTTCTGTTGCCTTTGAGCACCATTGTTCGAGTTCTAGCAATCCTGCTTTGACATATTCTCCGTTACTAAAAGAGCAGCACTCACGGCGCAGAAGTAAGCTGCAAATTAAAGAAAGACATTTAGCAAGTTACATAAATTTTTGAAGGATTTGTTTTGGACTTTGGTACATTTATATGGCCAAAACAAAAAAAATGAACAGATGCTTTTGAATGCTAAATATGTGGAATCAGGCCTTAATTTTAGCCAGCTGTGCTGTGAAAGAAAGATAATATTCGGCCCACAATTTCCAGTTTTAATTCCTTTCCTGTATGGCTTTTAGTACTTTCTGGGTTCTGTAGCCTTAATCCTTTCAAATAGGCTAGTTGTTTTAGAATTTTATTCACTTGTTATCTATTGTGTGGAATCTTAATTTTTATTGTGGGGAGTTCCTATTCTCCTATTGTAGCCTTTCCATTGTTCTCATTCTTGGATTCGTCCCTGTTCTCACTCTTGGATTTCTCAAGGGCAAGTTTTTTTTCTGGTCTTTATCTAAGCGAGAGGAGGAGCCAACACCAAATAGTTGGGATAAGGCTCTAATGATGATGATGATCTAAGTGAGAGGAAAAGCGTTTTGTTAAATGAACTTAATTGATAATGTTGTGTAAAATGACTTAATTATCTTAGCATTCTAGAAATGCTTTAAAACTACAGTTGTTTATTTATAAATTTCATTTTTGGATTTTGCATGTGCTAGCACATCAGGGACACTACATTGCAGGAAATTAGACAATCATGGCTGGCCTTTTCTTTGCATAAATGCTATCATGAAAGTACTTAATCTCACTGAAAATCCCACCTACCTTCCTTTAAATGATATATATATGTGTCATCCTTGAAAGGCCAAGTTTGGGGTTGGCATTTCTAATATTTGTATCCATGTTAGATGTTGACATGCATATCCATGCTTTTTGACAAAGATCCCCAGGCATTCATTAAAAAACATGCCTAACTGGACTGAGTATGTATACCTGTTGAAAAGCTGCACATTTATGTACCCCAATATCTGGCTGTACATCTTTCGTACAATCATGGAAGGCACCTGCAGTTCATGGATTCAAAACATCAGGCTCAAACAATGTAATTATTCTATTGTCCTTTTAGGAAGGTGGGACAACCTATATTATACTGTTTCCTTTAGTCGGGTTGGGAAAGGAGAATGGAAGAAAAGGGGGTGAGGAGTTGGGATCTTTGTTATGAATTTTCATACTTGCTGGCATAATTGATGCATGACTTACATGGTTTTCATGCATTATGTCCAACGTATTGTTCATGCTCTTCACGATGCTTTGCCAGTGTATGCTTGATGCTTGTTTTGCTGCGATGCTTGCCTGGATACTTCTGGATGACCCCCTTATTGTTCTAGCCCGCGTAGATCTTGGTGCCTGTAAATTATGCATATTTACATCAGTTGTAAATTGGTTCACAGGGCAATTGTAATGCAAGTAATGGTTCTGTATTTGTTGTTTCTTCTCCTAGATATGTACCTGTATGCACATATTCAAAAATGGGGTAATCTCTTTTTTCAAAGTATCTCGGATCATCCCATAGATTTTCTCGACGTATGCTGTGAGTTGCTGCTTGAACAAGAGAGCAGGATACTTGGCTTCCACTCTGGATGACACATCTGGCTTCCCTATCATTCCACTGTACCCACTTGAAATTCCCAGAGCTGTTTGTGAAGATCGGAAACCCTGCAATGCAAAACGTTCATACATTGTGAATTGTTTGTTCTCTCCAATTATTGGCTGTTTTATGAAACAATCTAATTCTACTTCGTAAAAGTTCAAACGTGAGATTTTTATTTTTTATTATTATTATCAAGAGATTTTTTTTTGACTGATCAAATTTCAAGAGTTCATAGACATGTTCATTCATTCATCTTTTTGTTCTTTTCTTTTGGTGAGTAGGCTGCAGTAAGGAAGGTCCGGTATAGTGCACTACATTGTGCAAGAAAAGTATGGGCCAAGTAGATAATAGTCATAGAGCCAGTGACTCTCACATGCCAATTACCAAAAAGAATGCAAAAGAAGGATTAGTGACTTACTTGTGCCATCCTGCCAAATAAGGTCAGAGATGAAATACGACCCCTCTGTGAAGCCATGTTGGGCGTATTGCTGGCCTTGAGGGTATTTTGCAGAAGGAACAGAAGCGTGGATGTGGTTGAAAGCCAATAAGCAAGATCTACAACATTATCTTGATTCTACAAGGCATACCCAAAAGTCAATCAATACCATGGATTGTCTTGAAAGCCATATTCCCAGTTTAGTTTCTTGCATGGCTCTGCTGGTCAAATCAGAGCTTTTATGGAATGGTGAGAAAACCATAATTGAAAATATTGGTTGTGAAATATCTATATCATTTCAAAAAATATAAGACCAGTAAACAACGGTTCAGATTTTGGATCACCATTTTTTTATTTTCTCTCGTACTCAGTTTGTTAATTAAAGCAAGCAAAATTTTCTTGTACTTCTAGTCATGGGTAAATATACAGCATGATGCATCACCTCAACAGATGACCTGATTGCGTGAATGATGCGATCGAAGATGTTGGTCTTGTCTGCTTCAAATGATCTCCACTGAAGCAGTGATTTATAGACGATGCATGCTGCGACAGGCCTGTTCTTGTCAAATCTCTTATCCTCCATTAGGCATTTGATAAGAGTATCATGGTTTTCCTGATCAGATATAGAGATAGTGAGTATAGACATTTAACAAATGTTGTATGTAAGTGCCCATTATATCGGTCCTTTCATTTACGATGCCTAGTTACTGAACCATTATCTGCGAGAAATATATGAAGAAAGAAAAAACGAAGCCTGTTGCCTGAAAGCACATACTTGCTGCCTGTCAGTCAGTGATTTCTGTTTGTTAAGTGGGGGCACGGGAGGCAACACTTCCTGCATGTACAAATAATTTTAGACCATTTTTCACAGTTAGTGTTATTTTAGTCATTCCTTTTTTTTATTCTTTTTTTGTTTTTTGCGTTGTACATAAACTACTTGTACCAGAGGATGGCCAACTTACTTTTTCTACCTTGTGATCCTCAATGACTTCATGTCCATTTTCCAGACTTTGCACCACCTTCATCCAAAAAGGAAATCAAATAACTAATTATCTATGCACAATAGTCTTGATTGATTCCCATGATTCTTTACTTGTCAAAAGAAGAGTAAATCATGTCATGATTATCTTAGACTGGTACGTTGGGTAACTAGAGCAACCTGAGTAAGTGGGGGCTCTAACTGTTTAGTAGGAACTGTCATTGGTAATGCTGCAGTCTGATCGCGGAGCATCTGATTCTCTGACTCTAATTTCGAGATCTTGTCTTTGAGTCTGTATTAAAAATGAATGCTCTTAGCAACTTCCAAAAAAAAAGAAAGAAAGAAAAACTGACAAAGGCCCGTAGAACGAAAACAATGGTGACCTTATTACAGATATTCTATCTTTCTGGACTTGTTTATGCAGATAAACATGCACATAAGCTACTTTTTGGGGATCAGAGTGCAGTCGGGGATCAGAGTGCAGTCTTTGTTATGCAAACTAAAAGATCTAATGTCATTTTGCATGGCAAGGTTTTAGAATCTGACATTTTGTTTTCCTCAGAGAGATCATCATTTTTTGATGCTTCCAGAGCTTGCTGACGCAGAACCTGGTTCTCTGTTTCCAAGTTGGACAAGTTTGCTTCTAGCCTGGGAGACCATATCGGAAAGATTCTTTTGTCAGACTGAGAATTCATGTATGGATTTGTGATTTGAAATGTGTGCATATCTGTACTTGTGTATGTGAATTCGTGGGCATGTGATCTGTGTATATTTGTGATGTGAACACTCCAAGTTGGACATCTTCACACCGAAAACTTCTGTTTAAGGTCTACGTATAAGTGATGTTGTCTGGTACCTTTGTATAGACTCTTCAAGCTCATGAACTCTTGACTGTGCTTCTGCTGCAACTTGTAGACTTTCTTCACTCTGTTCTTGTATTTCAGAATATCTTTTCTCAATATCCTCATTTTTCTTTTTCACTTCATTTAGCTCAACCTAAAATGATCAACATATTTAAGTCCCAATCATTGCTGAAAGAACTAGATTATACTTCTGTAAATGGAAAAGCAGAACAATGCATTACAGTGGCTCACAGGATACTAGTAAAAAGTATGCCAGATTTTATGTACTGAAAAGGCATTCATTATGTGATTGAAATAAAGACAAGAAGACCCACTTCAAGAGTAAATAAATAAAGATGAGAAGGCCGATGCTCAGAGAAAAATGGGATTATTCTGAAAGTATTGGTTTCTATTCTTTCCAATTGTGCACCACTTTCTCTGATGGACATGGCATGCGACCAAAGCCCATATCCCCTATTTTACGCAAATCAAACATGTTACCTTTAGCTCCTCATTCTGGTGGGTCAGCAAGTCTATCTTGGAATTATCCACAACTGGCACCTCTTTTATAACTGGGGGTGCCTGGGCAATTGCTAGTTTTGCTGCTTCCATTTCTTTTATGATCATGGAATTGGCCTCATCCAATCGCTCTTGCATTTCTTGCAAAGCAGATTGAAGCTTTGCAATCTCTTGTGCTTTCGCTTCTTCAAGATCAATCTGTGAAAGTTCATAAGGATTATTCCTCCCAAAAACTGCAGCTGAAATGGATTGGTGGGTTTGGAATAATATTATGTATTAGTTAATTTGCTGAGAATGAAAGAGTACCCTCATATGCTTTTCAATGTCCAACCGCCATGTGAGCTCCTCAACACGCTTCTCCAGCTTGTCCTTTGCTTCTTTGAGTGCTCCTGTTTCCCTGGCAGCCTGCACATATGAAGCATCATTAGTCATGTTGATATCCAAGCAGCAGTAAATTGCCGGTACCATAACTTTCATGTCCAAATCCAGTTGTCCTTGATAGCTAAAGTTCTTCAATTTTCTTGCAAAACAATATAATAAATGTATACTAACCAGTAGCATATACTTATTGGTTCTTTTACCTTTTACCTCTAAAAATGATTATGCCCCACGTCTTTGGTCATCTTATTTTATTAGTATGATATATTTTTTTCCTCCAGATATTTCTTGAAAGTAGTGAGATAGTATCAAATATAATTCTTTTAGCATGATTATAAATCCTCACTTTGATATTTCTTTGTTTCATTTCATTTTCTCTTTTAGAACTTCAGATTATTGGGCTTTCTGCATTATTTTCTGGTTTTATATGATTTGTTTATTGCTCGTGCAAGTATCTTATATTGTTCAATGTAAACACTCAAGTGACCAGTCTGTTCTCTTGGATGTATGTTTCCCTGGTTTTCCATGAAAGCAGTTGGAAACAACAAGTTCGTATATTATATGTTGACCCATAAGTTGGATTTCAGGACTTGGTGATAGAACTTCTGCTCACCATTCTGAGTTTCCGCAGCTCTTTTCTTGCCACTCTTCCTCTCCAAAGGCATTGAAGAGTGAGGGTAGTTTTCTTTTGCCTCTTATAAGCTGAAAGAGCTTGGAATCTTCGCCATCGAGTCTGAAAGGAAAAAACAGTTTGTTGTGAATTACTTTCAGCATATTGAAGCATGCAACATAGGCAGTTTTGCTTGTGAAGAGTACATGATAGCCCAATGGATTATATTAAACATATAATGGAGGCAGTGGACAGAGTAAGAATCAAAGTGGTTCCCATTCTTTCCACCACCGTTCATCGTTTTTTCGAGTGGACTATGGGTTTCTTTAGTTTATTGGACACAGTAAATTCTCCATTCACTTAATATGTAGTTCGCAATTAGAAATCCAAGTAGGCCTGTTTCTGTTCTTATTGTACCTGAACAATTATAGCAGCCTTGGTTCTTCTTCTGAACCGATATTCATTATGGGCTGCCATGGCACGCAATCCTGTTTGAATAACTACAGCAGATGCACGTAGTTCTGTATATTCCTTTCTGGCTTTATGAGTGCGTGCATGTTTCTGTATGCGTAGTGAAGCAGCTTCCCTTCTCATAAGTTCATAAAGTTTACGAGCAAGCTGTGCTGCAGTATCCAAAAGGGAAAAAAAAAGTTCGTATGGATGAATTACGAGAGTATTTCCATCCAAATTGACTAGAAAAAGGGACATACAAATACATATTGAATGATGGGATATACCTCTCCATATTTTTTGCAAATGAATTGTGGCTCTGCGTAAGGCAATGAATTCTTTTTGAGTGAGATGTGTCCGTATTTGGCGTTGGATGAGCCGTGCGGCATTTGCTAATACTTCAATTCTTCGAGCATCTAGTTCGGCCATCTGCCCTGCTCTTAGAAACACCTTTGTTTTTCCTATCTGGAATACCATAAGAGCAAATTTAAGGATTGGTAGAAGATTCATAGATGTTCTACTGATGACAGAAGATTTTTTTCAAGTTTTGCAACTTGATTAACTTTCCATCACTTTGTTGCTAGTTCACCACAACATTTTCACTACTAAAGGTTGCTGAGATGATTCATTATAGCCCTTCTATCTCTCTCCTCTCCTCTCTCTCTGCATGCGCAATTATTCTATTATATTTTTTATTGGTTTTTATTTGGTAAGATTAACTAGTTTTTGGGCATCTGGTTTTGATTTTGCATATGACCTTTGTCTAGAGGTATGTCACCTTGCTTTTATGAGGCAGGTCAAGGTGTCCAAACCTTAAGTTTGTCCCTCATGCAAACCAAGCTGCCTACCTCAAGAAAAAGCTTTTTTTTTGTTTTGATAATTTACTTCAAATGAGTGAAATTCCTTTCGTATAATCTTCCTTTTCTTGCTGACGAACCTGGTAGCCCTGCAAGCCCATTCTGTCACAAATGGCCACACATGCTGTCTTCTCATCCAAACTGGAGAATATTAAAAGGTAAGTGTATCAGCATACAGTTTAACCTTAGGATTCATATATGGAAAGTCTCAAGAATTTTTTGCCTTTCAGCTTTTCAAGCCTAATAATCTTCTATTATTCAGGATATCAGTTTTGATGGTAGTTATGAAAAACAGAAACATGAGATATACCCATCTGGTAAATCTGGAGCAAGCATTCCAAAACGGTCAAGAAACTCATCGAAAGTTCTCTTTGTAGGATAACCTGCACAACTTATTCTGATTGCCTCCAGAACTCCCTGATATCAACAACCCTCATATCATATCTATAAATTCATAGCATAGATAAAAATGCTAATATCAGATATGAGAACACTCACCCCACATCTTAGCTGGTTTAGTACATTAAAATTTTCAAAAATGCCTGGCTTTAGGACAGTGTTTGGTTTCACACATCTGATATAGTGTGGTTCTGTTGTACTCAAGGTCTCCATAAGAGCTTGCAGTTGTTGCTGCATAATTTTCAGGTGAGTAAAGTTAGACAAAACTTTAACGGAAAAAAAAGAAGATTATGCTTCTGGATCTACCTTGAAGCGAGTCCCAATAGATGAGAATTTGGATGATTTTGAAGATTCCTCTGGTGATGGAGGAAAGAGGTTGGCAACAAACGGACATGTAGATGCATTCAACAATGCCTGATGCTCGGCTACAACATAATCCTTGTTTTTGTCAAGAAATTGATCTGCCTGATAAGTCACCTATTGACAAGGAAGCTAGTACTAAGTTACTTTATTGTTGTTGTAATTATTGTTAAGCTTAAGCCTTCAGAGAGCTTTGATCCTCTGGTTAAGAATGCCACTTACATCACCAGCATAATGGTTGATAGTGAAATCTGTACGGGCAAGTTTAGGTTTGCTGAATCGCTTGTGGCCTTTATATGTTTGGTACATCTTTTGTGCAAATGTTTCATGAGTGGATTTTGGGAACATACTGCAAAGAGTAGGTCGATCATCTCATAACATACTAATATCGAAGTTGATGTTTCTAGGCATATATGCAGTGTGCAAGCTGAAGTACTTTCATTTTCTTTGTTAAAAAAAAGTTTACTGGGTAGAAAGCATACCAGGCTTCATCAAGAAGAGCGATTATTCCTCCTGGTTTCTGCAAGCACATATAAATCATCAGTGATGTGTAGTAATCTCTCCCTCTCTCTTTTTCTCTCTTCCAACAATTATATGCTTGCGCAGAAAAATCAACCAAGAATTGTTAAAATGATTTTGAAAGAATTCAGCATATCACAACAAAATACCTTCTCTATAAGATCCAATACATCCTGATTATCTATGAACTCAACGTAGCTCCAGTTGATCTCTTCTCTCGTGTACTCCTCCTGTTCCATCTTAAATACATGCTGTGGAGGATGCATTTCATGTTAGTATTTCATTTTTTTTGTGTGTATTAGTCAACTTTTGTGCCATTTTTGTTTACCCTGATATCATTTTCATTCTTGTTTATGTCAGAATTATCAATTGGTGTACTGTGGTTTTCATGCATACCTGGTTGAAATGCTGTTGCAGCTTTTCATTTGTTAGGTTGATGCAGAGCTGCTCAAAGCTGCCACACATGTTAGTTAGTGACCAGTCTAGCTGGTGGGTGTAACTCTTGAGATGCATATGTATGCATGCTTTGTAGGTTTTGATGTATTCTAAGTAATATCACCAACGGTAGAGGTTACCTGTTAATTTTGAAACTCTCAAAGCCATAGATATCGAGAACTCCTATCAAGCTGGCTGCATTAGGGTCCTGTCCGATAGAGATGTTGATTTTGTCCACTATCCTGCCATTCAACACATTGGGTGGTATGTTAACTGAATTTAAATATTATTATTTTTTTCCTTTCTTTCTTCTTCTCTAAAAATCTAAATTCCATGCAAGCGCACAAAGCTAAATCTTGTCTCATTTCAGATTCATGGGTACACTAGTTTAGTTGTGTCAGATGCATTTAGGACTTAGTGCTAGACTAAACTCTATGGGATTTTTGAAATTGTTATTATTGTTATTACTATTATTCTATTTAAACCATTAGCCCATGGTTTTTGATGGGAAGATCCTGATAGTAATCCATTTCTTGAGCGATAGACCGTCAGTTTCTCACCAGTCGAATAGCCTGGAGTAGATAGTCTTTGCTAATGCATCACGGTTCAAAGCAGCTGCTTCGGGGTCGAGAAGTTTCGTTATGTTCCCATCTCGTGTTACAATTACTCTCTTGCAGAGAGAATCCTCTAGGGCATTTACATCACACCTGAAATAAACATTGTGTCCTCTCAAAGTCAAAATATAACAAGGTAAGAAATACATACATGCATGCATATTGTTAAATCTGGGCCATCCGGCCTATATTATAGAATAGGCCCACTTTGTGTCTAGGGCGAACTTTGCTTACATAAAAACAATAAGTTATGAAATGCAGCAATTGTGTTTATTACTTTATAAATATAAATAAAACTAAAAGGAAAAGAAAAACAAATAATTTGTAATGTGAAGAGCTCAAGTTCATACATCAAGAGCTCTGCAACAGTTTGAAGATGGTAGATTGCTTTATCATCTTTTGGAGCAGAAGAATCAATTTCCTTTCCTTTTGCAAATTCTACATTGCCAAGGTGCAGAATTGCCGCCACAACTCGGAATATTGCATCCTGAAAATGATTAAAAAGAAAATAAAAAATAAAAAACCAATAAGATTCGTGCAGTAATGGTTAAAAAAATGTTATTTTGATTTGAACCCAATTGACCAATCTGACCAAATTACTTCCAAATTACTGTACTTGTACATCTTTACATTTTACCTGTTCTTCCGGGCTGATTCCCACGACATCCATGGCATTTCTTGTCTCCAAATACTCCCTGGCATCATTCACATTTGCTACTTCGTAACAGTTTGTCTGGTTTAGATAATGAAATGATCTGGGGTCTGCCACTTTGAATTTCTTTACATCCTGAAACAGAACAAGCAGTCGATCTCTTAGGAAATTAAGGCTTCATATGTTAATGGCTTGGCTACCTACTCATATACCATTGGAGTGTGCTCCATTTTGAAAAGTACAATAGGAAAGAAAGGACCTTATGAGATCTTTCATTTCCTAATGTAAAACATGGGTTAGAAGTGAGGGTCTTACTCTCCATCAATTGCAATTTGCAAAGGTGCTAGCAAATGGTGGTGACCTCAGCCCTTTAACTGAATTGGCTCTATTGCATAAAGGCCTCTTCTGGGATGCATCACGTGTCTCCAAACTTGGAAACAAAATTAAATTATTTCCATTTTTTTTTTTTAAGTTTGAAAACAAAAATGATATACATCAAAAGGTGCAATCAAGGTTTTGTTAGGCTTTTCTTTTTCTCGTTAGATTGAAACCTTAAGACCTAAACTTCCTAATTAAAGGCAGTTTAGGTTTCGTTTCAGGACCAAGTGTCCTACCTCAGGCGGTGCAGCACAGAGCATGTAGAAGCAATGGTAATTCCTCTCAGGATCGGAGACTTGGCAGACACGAGAGCGTTCAAGAAGATATGTTCGGACTGCAGCCCCGGAAATCTTTCCGTACATGTCGAATTGGAGTTCAACAAATTTACCAAAACGACTGTGAAAAGGACCCAAACCTTAGTCACCACTAACTTCACTAGGCTCTGTATACGAGCGCATATGTAGGTATATGTAGAGAGATGGATAAATAGAAGATATTTGAGTCACCTGGAGTTGTTATTCTTGACAGTTTTGGCATTCCCAAATGCTTCAAGAACAGGGTTTGACTGCAAACAAAATTGGAAATTTATGACACTGAGGTTTCAAGATCTTGAACTTTGGGATGCTGAGGCATATTCATGCTCACCTCTAGAACCTGTTGCTCTACTGTCCTTCCCTCTGTCCCCGATCGACCACCCATGAATGCAAGGTATCTCATAAGCATTTTTGTGGTTTCTGTTTTACCAGCTCCACTCTCTCCACTTACCAAAATTGATTGACTGCCTTGCTCATTGATCATGGCTCTAGTTGTGAGAATAACCATAATCAACTTTTTGTCAGCCTTTTGTTCAACACATAAACATGATGTATGTATGCATGCATGCATGTGTGTCTGTGTCAAATTGAGATGCTTACCTGTAGCATGCATCAGCAACAGCAAACAAATGAGGGCTAAGCTCCCCAAATGCTGCTCCCTTGTACTGCTCCATCATGTGGACGTCATACAAGTGGGGCAGTCTTCGGAATGGATTGACAGCAATCAATATGTTCCCTGTGTATGTCTGCTCAAAAACAAATAGACCCGGATAGCTTTTCAATTCCCATTGGGTATATAATTTCTTTTTAATTTTGAATTTTTTAATGTTAACTTGGGACCCTGGTGGGAATGCAACTCAAGGTGTGGCATTGTGGTACAGTTTTTATGCAAATTTTCTTCTAAGATGATGACAAATTCATAATATTCGAATATAAACCTTTTTCTTATTGATGAAGGATCTAGTTTTCATTGAAAATAAACAGATGCCTTCTATAAATCAGCAAAGAAATATATTGTCAAAATTCAGATGTTTCAAAATAATAAGAAATTGCATTATTTTGACAGTAAAAAAATTTATCATGCGAGTTGTCTTTTCATGCAGTCTTGAAACGAGTTTTTCCGTGGGTCATATTGCTTCAGTTTCTCACCAAATGTGCGACATTATGTTGTCAAGTGTATGCTTATATCTGTGGGTGCATATGACTGGCAAAAGTTTATCTTTAGAATAGATGTTAGCAATTGCTTGTCCCCAGATAATGACCAAAAATGATGGTTCCAAAGTCCAAACCACTGATGCCTGGAAATCATGAGGTTTGAATGCTAAATGTTCCCTACCCATACCAATGCGCAGGGGTGGGGGGGGGGGGTGTGTGTTGGGCCTTTGAAATCTTCCACGGTAGCTCCCTGATTTCGTTGTGCAGTAGATTTGAAATCTTCCACGGTTGCTCCCTGATTTCGTTGTCCATCTACTGCACAAGGTAACTTACCATTGTAACTCCATGATTTTTGGGTGCCATGTGTTTGACCTCTGTTTTCCATCAATTTGGGGTTTGTGTATGCTAACATCTTCCCAAAGGGAGAGGGTTTACAGGTTAGATTAAATTTTCCCTTGTGTGTCTGTGTGAGAGAGAAAGAGTGTGTGTGTATATGTGTGTATGTGTGTGTGTGTGTGTGTGTGTGAGAGAGAGAGAGAGAGAGAGAGAGAGGTATTTATGCACCCATGGAGTGTATAGTTATCAGAAAAGTGAGCAGCCATTAGAATCTTAAAGTTAAAGTGTTTTTTTTCCACCAAGTTCTTAAAGTTTTAATCATGGCATAGGACATTTGTTCTTATGATTCAGGGTGATGCGATCATCTCAGCTTCTTGGAGACTTACATATATCTCATTCAGAGCAAACCGTTGATATAGGTTGTGTAGAACTCCAGGCTCGTGGAGGTACGCCAACTTGGTCATATCATCAACCCCTGCTGGTGGCGCTTCTGTGTCTTTTGGATAAATATTTGATAAATTAGAGACAACCTGAGATCAATGAAAAGCATAATGGTTACTATTTTTGGATAAAAATAAGTGCTTTTCTATCGACTCATTTGCGTACTTCCGCTCAATTTGAATCTAACTTCATATCATTCATAACTTGGACTCTTGAAATTTATAGCTAATTTACTTTTCGTAATTCCCAATGGTAGAAATTTAGGTTTGAAGAATACTTAAAACTGATTTTCTCTTGACCCCCATCTGATTACTTGATACGTTTATGTTCACAGATGATAATTTCAATTTTTTTTTGATAAGATATCCACTCTTATTGTGAAACCCACGAAAGGCACACGATTCTCTTACCTTTTTTTTATGTTTTCTTTCCATAGTTCTCTATTGCTATTTAGGATGAGATAGCTATTCCTTTTGTTGATATTAAGGGAAGATATCTTCGATTTACTACTATAGAATTTTTATATAACATGCTTGTAGATCCAGATTTTAAGCTTCAATACTAAGTATAAAAGAGAATTCTTTGGATCAATATAAACAGGATGAATCAAGATCTGATCCCATTGATTGATCACATAAAGATGACTTGAACAATTTTATAGAGTAACTATATATAAACTCTCTATGACTTCAGTGAGAAAAACAGTCATATGCCTTTATAGTCATATCAACCAGAACATAAAGAATAACTATTACAGTGTACATGGATAAACCAGTGGAACTTACTGTCTTTTCGTTTGTGGTAACAATCTTGGCTTCACTGCCCTTGATTTCGAGGACCTCCCCATCCATCCATGCCTCCTCTGGATCCTCCACCCACACATGCGATCCAACCACTATGTTCACTGGAGTTCCCTGAAACCATTACCAAATTTGGAATTTTTCAATCATTTAATTTACATATCAAGACTTCAGGCACTGGTCTTTGGCCATCAAAACTTACCATATTAGGAAGCTTTGAGATGAAGGGGTTGGTTATCTGGTGATCATCCGATTCAGAAATTCCGGCAACTCACCAGAAATATTCCAAATTTGAAAATTTCTGGAGAGGCAAACGGTATGTTTTGGCCTTTCAGGATTGGTTTTTCTGGCCTCAAATCTTGCTGTAAATGGAAGTGGAGTTTCTTTGCGATCTTCCGATCAAAATTCAGGTAGGGAAGAAGAAGAGATGGGTATGCATTCATTTGGGAAAAAGAATAGATTTAGAGAAGGTTTTAAGGGATTGATGGTTTGATGGATTGCTTGTTAAAAGAATGAAAAAGAATGTTTTGTGAGGGCCCAAAAAAGCAGGGAGGAAATGCAGGTGGTTTAACTCAAAAGCAAAAGGCATTGGTAGCAGCCACCCCACCGCTCTCTCTCTCCTCTCTCCCCCCCCAACTTTTCGCCTGATGCTGATGTGGCGCCGGAATAGTGACCAAAATAGTTGAAGGAGAAATTCAAGCCTTGCTTTTGGTGAGGTGGGTCCCTTAGAATCCATTTCTATTCCTTTATTTTTTGGTGGGAGTTTTGTTTTTCAAATCTTTTTTTATTGTTTTCATCTGTAGAAATATGATTTCACCATGAGAGCTGTGGCACGGTTTGGTTTACGGCAAGTTCAGCAAAAGGTCTTGACCTTCTTGCTTCATTGTGAAAAACTTAATCTGGGTGGTGCCCTTAGGGGAGCTGTCAGCTTTTTATCTTTTCTTTTAGTCATTTCTCTTAGTTATTTCCTACTGCACCATTAGAGCATTGTCAAGAGACACAATGGACCCCACAAGTGCATCTAAGGGTCTGAATCTTCTTATTGCTCCGGGGTACAAAGTTGAAATTTCAGTAGTGGACAAAGGGTTTATGCATCTAAGGGTCTCAATCTTCTTATTGCTCCGAGGTACAAATTTCACATTTCACCAGTGGACAAAGGATTTATCAAATCTCTCTCTCTAACCAGCTTCCTGTGCAAAATAACCCCCACCCCAAAAAGAAATCAAATCAAAACAAAACAAAAAAGATAGATCTGGTTTTGGGCTCATAGATTGGTTCAAAGTCCTTGCAGAGGGCGTTTATTTTGTGAAAATCTTTGTGGATTGTCTGCCTTAATCTTCAAGCTTTATGATATATGGTATATATCTTCATGCTTTTCTTGTTTTTCAAATGGATGCTACAGCTTTTGCACCGTTTATTGGAACCAGGACCTTCGGTGGAAAGTTCCCGCAATGAGGGGTCCCATGTGGGTCAGTGGTTTTACTGCTTCTCTCTCTCTCTAGAAATGAGTGTTGTAACATGCTGTATCTCTCGCTCTCTCTTATTTTGGCTTTGAATCTTTTTGGGGGCGGTGGAGCTGGTAAAAAGAGATACGAGACTGCATCTCATTTTTCCGGCGTCCACCGTCACATGAGGCCCAGTTGTGGGGTGGCAGAGAAAAGCCATCCACAAAAGCTTTCCGACCACGCTTTCTGATTTTCCCTATTAACAAAACTCTCTTTTCTTTTCTTATTCAATTTCTTTTGTACTGCTAATCATATTGTATTATACTCTCCAACTTTTCGCTTTTTTTTTTTTTTTTTTTGCTTGGAGCCATGAGGACCCGATCTCTCTTGAAAATGTATAAGGACCTAAATGCCCTTTTTTTTGGTATGTGAAAATGGGAAAAGGAAATATTAAATGGGTGTAGTTTATACAAGGTATCGATCTTAAACAATCAAATGAGCTCTTTCAAAGTTGGGAGTTTCAAAAACTTTTAAGACACCTTAGAAATCTACTTCTACCATTAATTATAGTTTTTAAAGCTTCAAAAGTCGTGTAGGTGGAATGGATCTATGAACACTAGAAAATCATGAAAATTGATGATCCAAATAATGTGTTGCAAGGTATGTTATTTTTAGATCTTTAAATCATCTTTTTTTATAGGGTGTGGTTTGTACAAGGCTGCAATCTTAAACAATCTAATCGAGGTGCATCTCCAAATTTTAAACGGTCGAGTCATTAACTAGACTCAAAGTTCAACAAAAAAAAATTCAAACTTTGAGGCACACTTCAAATCATCTACATCTAATGGCTAGTATCAATTGTGATTTCCTTGTAACAGAGATAAATGGTCTCATGATATACAATTCTTTTTTTATTTGATAATTCATGGAGTGATTATTTTCAAAAACAAATAAATTTTGAGTTTTTCAAAACTAAATCTTGTCCTCCAAAAGTTGGACAGTTCCTATTCGATTTTTAAGGCATTAATTTTTTTTTTTGTTTTTAGAAACTTGTGTGTGATTTTAGGTTTTTTCCCTTTACGAGATTTGTCGCCAGGCTCAACTTCTCAAAAGTTTTGAGATTTTTAAAATGCTCCTAGCATGATGGAGCAAGTGGACATGTAGAAAACAATTAGAGCATACGTTTTATATCCACTTTGCCACTTCTTTTTTCTTTTTTCTTTTTTTAATGTTAAACTTTAACTTCTATAGGTTTGTAAAAACATGATACACAAACGTGTGTAACCAGTTGTGTAATCAAGTCAATAATATATTTACAGCCCCTTAATTTAAAATCCAATGAACAAGAGAGATTGTGACTTCTTTGTACTAAGGAATGGTTTCTTTGTATACTTTTCTCAGAGTAAAAAATACTTTATTTTAGACATACTTCACATCAAGTTGGTTAGTTTATAACATTTTTTTCATGCTTGTGTAAGTTAATTCTTTAACTCACCATCATCCTTCTTTCTTTACCCTTGGATTGCAGTTCAATATCCTTGTAACATTAGTACTCAATGGTATCCACCTATTTATGGAGTCAATTTTTCTTTAAAATTGAGAGCACTTGGGTTAGCTCAAAATCCTTGTGAAGTCATAAGTCTAGGATGGTATCCAAGTATTAATGGAGTTAAATTTGTTTTAAAATTGAGGGCCGATTGGATTGGTTCACAATCCTTGCAAGTCTCTTGGGTGGCACCCAAATATTTATTAAGTTAATTTTGTTTTAAATTTTGAGAGCATTGCAATTACATAGGATAATCTGTGATGTAATTTGTTAATTACAATGTGAGCCTTGCTTTTGTAATCAAATTCAAATCTATAACACGAACATATTTTTTCTCCTTTCTTGTCAAAACAAGCATGTTCTTTCTCCTTTGCCTTTCCGCTCAGAGGAAGAACAAGAGGAATAGAGAAGGGGAAGAAACTGATGAGAAGCTGCAGCCGCATTCAGGCTCCGAAGAAACCATTCAAGTGCATTATCTAAGGGCATTCTTCTACACGAGCCGGCAAGAGGTGGTGGTGGAAGTTGCCTGTCGATCTCTTTTGCTTGATCTTTGAGCGGCTCAGCTTACCAGACTATGTTATGTTAGAGCAACCGCAGTATGCAGACACTGGATGAAGATGCAGGGCTAAACCCAAGATATGTAGTTTCCCATGGATACTCCCAATATGCAGCATGGACACGACGATGTGGCACTTCGAAGACATATCAACCAACCGGAATTACTAGAGTTGTTTGCTGCACAAGGTGAGGCTGGCTACTATTATCTCATTAACCCTCCATCCTCTGCCTCTTAAATCTGGCTACTATTATCTCATTAACCTTCCATCCTCTGCCTCTTAAATCCAGTATCTACGGCAAGGATTGACCTCCCTCCGCTATCAAAAGAAGAATTTCATGTAGCGACTCTCTGGCATTGTTGCCACACCCGACTTCACTGGCATCTTGGTCTGAGCCACAGGCTCAGAAACCAGCATCCAGATGTTCCAGCCAGTGACCAAGCCTGGAGCAAGAACAGCCATCAAAACGGCCTTCCCACAAGCCAAATTAAGTATGTGGCTTCTGGGCCTGGCAACCGACTCTATTGTATATGCATGAGCATGGCCTTGAAGTCCCTGGATACAATGCTTCGAAGTTGGGTAGTTGTCGACCTGGCTTTCCCGAGTCATCTCTCCAAGGCCAGGGGCTGTCTCCATCTTGTTTTGATGAATGAGGGGCAGACCTAGGCCGGGTTCACTTTGTTTGATGTTAATAAGATGAATGCTGGTTAGGTGCAGTGGTGTTAACAGCGAAGGAGCTAGTGCTAGGTTCTTAAGTCCTGTTCTGTGGATGTTAATCAAGTGTGATGGCCATGACGATTCTCGTTCCACCTCGACGGCGGTCGCATCCGAGTCTGTACTAAACCAAAAGATGTTATACTCCCGTGGGAGTATATTATTCATTTAGTATCTTGAGTAAAAACCTTGTCTAGGACTAATTTTGAGATTCCAAATTTTGGGGATGTCACCTCTTCAACCCCTACATCAACAAAAACAAAAAAATTATAATTCTAGCCTCTATGCACTTCAGAGAAAAAAAAACAAAAAAAAATGTCTCAAGATGGAAGAGAGACCGTCTAATTTAGACGGTGAGAACTAAATTTTAGGAGACTCAAGAAATTCAATTTTTTTTCGTTTCCAGAATAATAATCTAGTGATTCTAGAGGTTTCTCAACATTTTAGATTGAAAAATCTCCCAAGCAGGTCTTCTTACTAAGGAGTAGATGTAGAGGAGCATAGTGTCGTTTTTTGTTTTCCTTTCAAATTGAAGATATTTTTTTTTAGGCAAGCTTTCTATGCTTTTCCTACAGCATAAATTTATAATTTTGAACGTCAAATCTTCTATTAAATTCGCACTAACGAAAAATATAAAAAAAATATTTTCAATAAAATAAAATGACCAAAATACCTCTAAAAGTTTCAAAAGGTATTTAGGTTATTTTATTTTATCGAAAAATTATTTTTAATAGTTTTTATAGGTGCCACCCAATGAAAAGATGGCACGTATGAAATTTTATATTCATACAATTTGTATAAAAAAAAACTAAAAATAAAATACTTTGAGAAGTCAAATCTAAGATCAAGTGGTGAGTGACTTCAAAATTGAAGAGCTGAATGCTAAGGGAAACATAGATCTTCTATGCTGTAGAAGAAGTATAGAAACATTTCTCTCTTTTTTAAGACATGAAAGTTTCAATTAAAAAATTAAAACCCCTTGCAAACTCATTAAGGAGGTCAAATGATTACAATTTACAATTAAAGATTTGCTTTTAAATTCTTATTTCACATAGGTATTTCACTTGAGTATTATCTTTAAACCATAAGAGTAAAATGCAACTCCAAACTTTACCATAAAATACAAATTTTCGCTCCAAACTTTACCATTAAATACAAATTTGGCATCGAAAATATGTAGGATTGCCCAAGAATCCATTGTTGTTTTCAATTATAAAATTTTGTAACTTCAAAAATAATTCAATTAAGCAAACCTATAAATGCATGAAAATCTTAAATATACGGTTCAAATAAAGTGTTGCAATATGTGCTGGGACTTTAAATTATTAGTTTTTCCCTGTACTTTAAATTATTAGTTTTCCCCTGTATCCTTTAAATTATTAGTTTTTCCCTGTACTTTAAATTATTAGTTTTCCCCTGTATCCATACATCTGAACGTCAAGATTGGTTTTCCAACAGCAGATATTTGATTGTACCTTAATTCCACAATATAAAGTGTCAACCTCATATAAACTTTCTCTATTATCTTATAAGCATGCTCTGCTAAATTTCTTTAACATTTAGTGCATATTTAACACTTAAACATCCATACTCAACATAACACTAACAGTTACAAAGCGTGCAATACAGATGTCAAGGGCAAATCTTGCTTATAAAACTGAATCAATGCTAATCAACAAATATGCAACATAACCACATAAACGCCACCTCTCTTACGGATTCCAAGCAGGTCCCTCGAACAAAAGACCAGAAGCAGCCACACGCTATCCTTGTCCGACCATATTAGCCAGCAACCTCATGCAGGCAACCTATAGTCCACATAGAACACACTCGAGCTTTTCCTTAACACTCTCTAAAATTTTTTCACTTGAAACTCTCTTGAATGCCCACCAAGCCCATTGAAATAATCAAACAGTCAAGAATCAGATCAACTTGACTACCACAGCTGCAAAAGCAAAGAACGCCCACCGCCGAAGAGTTATTCTCCCGTCTTACTGATAATATCCATTAGGTCCACCTTCTTCGTGCATGTCCATGGTAGAATCACCATTATTCATTTCGTTTTGTGAGCTCTGAGACCCATGAGACCCAACATTTTCCGAGTCCCCAGACCCATTCCGCCTGTTTGAGTAGTAACCACCTTGCTGAAGGCTACGCCTTATGGGACTCGATAGAGCATTTGAGAATATAGAGTTTTTGGCCTGATCTTGATTCATTGCTCTTTGGGCTTGAGAACTAACTAGCTGACCAGAGGCTACATTATGCATCTGAGAGGATGGGGTTGGGAAATGCATGTGTGGGTTCAAGTTGGGGTGGTGTTGTAATTGGCGTGCTGGGGACACCGAGGCTTCTTCTCCACCATAGTCAAGCTCATTCTGCAATTTAGGCATTTTCTCACTCATGTAACAAACATCTTGGCAGTGAAAACAATTTGTATCAAGTTTTTTGAAAGAGTTGACAATTTATGACAAGTTAAGAAGCACAAAGAGTGAAAAAGCAAAAAGAGTACTTCACAGGATCAGAGAGCGAGAGAAAGAGGGGCTGGCCTCTTGGCGCAGTGGTAACTGGTAAGAATGAAAGGCCATAGCACTAAATCAAGGATGAATCAGGTTATCAACTCAAAAAGAGTGGGAAGGAGGGTCTTGCACCTTTTTCCATAATTGTGCGAGTGGACAGGACAAAACACAAATGCCCAAGATTCGAGTCCCCGCTTAACAAACTCAAAAAGAGATGCTACCCAGGAATGTACTAAGATGGAATTTAAAAACCAATTAAAAGATAAAAATCAACACAAAATTGTGGTTGCACCACTTCAGTGGCATTGAGCAACATCATCTCATACATGTATACACTAAAGTACCACAACCATCCATGTGCCCATTCTGCATCTGCTTCAGTTATGATATATAACATATACCAAGTTCAATCTCAGTATAGTCATTCACCGACAAAGATGTACCACGTTCAATCCAATTTTCAAGTGAAAACCGTATAAGTTGCAATTGAAGTGCATCTTCACCCTGCATAATACTGTTCCCCACGTCTTCAAGTGATTTTTCACCAACAAAACATGTACAACAAAAAACTTGCATCACATGCTTCAAATTTTTCCTTTTAGAGATAGACACACCTAATCAATCGGTCTTCTAGGGTCTGTAAATGCATCAGTTCTCAACTCTAAAGAAGGGAATCCCAAGGGTTCATTTATTAAAAGAATTAATGAGAACAAGAAAATATGTATCTGGTCGGTCTTGGGAATTTTATTTTTAATCTAGAGTTCGTTTGCCTATCCTTCCCTTTAAGATTGTTGTGCCCTATGGGCAGGTCACCCAAGAACCAGAAAAACTCTTAAACATACACTCAACAGGGACTAGCCAAGGAATGAATCAAGGGTGATCCTATTGAAAAAGAACTTTCCTAAAAATGGACCACTTTTCTACGAGAGAACTTCCTAATTCTTTCCTCTCCTTTTTCACATCAGATTCCAATTTTTTGAATGGCCCAAATTAACAGTAATCAGTGAGTCACAAAGTGAATTAGACGCATAAACAAAAGATCTCTTCACTTTAGCAACAAGGGAAATATAGAGTAATCTCGCCCTTACCAAAATAGAAACATCAGAGGCATACTATTTTTTTCTTTTCTTTTTTTGTTTCTTACCGTTATGCCTATAGGCACACTATAATACTCAAGTCATGACCCATTCAAATGTGATCAAATAACTAAGAAGGTTGAATGATCATCCACTGTTTCAAAAAGTGGACTGCTGAGCGCCTTGGTGGATATCCCTGGAAACTTAAAACCCATTAGAGGCTATTTTAGAGAGAGAACCCAAAAAAAAAAAATCTACTGGGCCGCCTAGGGGCTGGGCGGCCTGGACCCCCCCAACCACCTAGGTCACCTAGCGCTTTTTGAAACACTGTGATCATCTAGTGAAAAAATCAAACAATACAAACTATTTACTTCTAAAAGGTGAAGCTGCACCAATATTCATTCCAACACAAAGTAATCAGGAGTTCTACAAAAGTAAGAACCGAGATTCACTTGAGGAATTAAATAGACAAGGTATTTTAAAATATTCTCGAATATTTTTAATGCTTTGCATAGTCATACAAATTTTTTTATTTTAATCATATTGCAATAATCATCATGCATTTATATTTGTACGTAAATAAAAGCATGCAGTCCTAGGCATCAGCTTCATAGAGTGCCAAGATGCAGAGCATGTACTGGTATTGGGCTTCTTAAATGGAAACCCAATAATTAAAAAGTGAGAACAAAAATCATATACATGTATCTACACCTGACCTCTCCTACAATCATGTGTAAGTTTAATAGGAACACTTGGTAGTTACATTAGGCCTCAAAAGCGTTTAAAACAAGTGCAAGTTATTCCTGACAAAACTAAAGACAACACATTAGCAACAAGAAACATGGAAAATTCCCTTTTTCAATAATTAGAAGACGCATGGCTTAATAATCTAAAATTAACAAAGACGATATTAAACAAAACAGAAGAATGTGCAGCTACTTGATCTGTCTATTTAAATAATGCACCAAAAGAAATACATGGGGATGTAGTGAACCTGAAGATAAACAAGTACATCTGCTCCAGTCATTCTAACTCCTTCCTCTTGATGCCTAAGGATTGATTGATAAAGTTTCTCCTGAAGAAAACACACCAGGTTAATCCCTCAAAGAACACACCCAAAAACAAGAAAGATCCATAGCTAGTATACGTAAATGCACACAAACATACAACATGCATATGGACCCTGAAATCAACTCTTATACATAGAAGGTACTAGAATAGAGCTTAAGAGAAATGATGGTAGTCACAGAACTGGCAGGTTAAGTAAATTTACATAACATAAAGGAGATCAATTGATGTCTCAAAATTAAGAGGAATTCCCGACAAAAGAAACTACAATCAGTGACTATATACAACAAAAAGCAAAGAGCATGAAATCGGTGCTGCATCAAAGCATATAATGATGCCTTAATAAATAAACAGTTGCACAATAAAATAAACCAGGTAACTTTATTCCATAATTCTAAACCGTAGAAGAACTTGCAGAACTCTGAATCAGAAACAAATGTTTGCCTCATCAAACCCCAACCTATTGACCATAATAACTGATTCCAAGTACCAATGCATCATAATTTACAATAAAGGCCAAAATTCCATCAGGTACAATGAGTAGCTACATTAATTTGAGCAACTATTTAATCTTACACCCCATCTTTCCTAACGGGGAAGGCAGTTGGCGCTTGTAAAATGATCTTAAGTCTAACCATATGTTCCAAGCTGACAAACCTATGTCCAAAATATTACAATATAAGGAAGCGTGAAAGGTGACCTAATCTAATATATATCCCAAATGGATCTACTCCAAAAACGTGAACAAAAGATGGCATTTGATATGGAGCAGGGTCTGAAAAATTGGTTACCCAATCCGGAATTGGACGATCCGGATCAGGTATTGGCTGTACCGTTCTGGATCCGACCATAAAACGGGATCCGGATGTGTTGCTACAGTGAATCAGTATTATGACATCATAAGCCGACGGACTCGGTACAATATGACATCACGGGATGAAGTTTGAACGATTTTCATTTAAAAAAAAAAAACTGCAACGAGCCCACCACATGGGCCATCATTACGTTTGCAACAAACCATCCCTCCCCACACACCGTGCTTACCTCACATGCACCGTTTTGTACTCGTAGTGTTGATGTCACCGTTTTATATTGGGTTCTTTGTGCCGAATCCTTGGATGTGGAACTATTCTAGCCTTCCACATTTCCACAACAAGTTCATCGTATATCAATGCATAGCTTTCGTCTATGCGTACGCTTGTACTTATATTCGTCTAAATAATCTACAAAATAAAATTTATTTATTTTTTAGATTAATAATATTTTTTATAAAATAAAAAAATAAAAGTATATATAGTTAAGTTTTAATTACATATAATTACAAGAAGAAATTATATTTAATTAATTTACAAAAATTAGTATAATTATATTAAAATTATTATTGCTTATTTATCTTAATAACTTGTCAAACTTATGTCAGTATAATCATGTGATTATAATTACATTAAAATTTATTAGGGGTTTTATTTTGTTTTTAATTATATGATATGGAAGCATTTTTTAATAATCTTTTAATCATACCTATTATACTATTAATAATTATACATTGATAGCCAAATCTTGTATTATAAATTATGTAATGTATTATTTTTTCTTATAGTTGTAAATAAGATTTTTTTAAAATTAGATGGTATTATAAGATATTTTAGATTTGTTCCTATTTGTATACTAAAATAATTATAAAATATAAAGTTATAAACCAACAATTTCAATTTCAATACAAAATATTATAGTTCGTTAGGTTGTGATAATTTTGGATGAGTAAAGAGAATTCATAAATATTTGATCCTTTGATGTGATACTAATTTTACTTTGTATAGGAATTTTTTTAATCTTTTAATATGAAAGTGTTTTCTAATATTTTTAAATTACTTTGATACAATATTATAATACTCTATTATAATTAGTAATTATATAGACATCGAGACTGGAAAACAGTGCCTCAGTATTCACCTATTTTTACAAAATAATTAAAGTACATAATGCATCACTCCTATTTACGTTTAGAAACTTAAAGAACACTATTTTTAGAGATTTATAGTGATTTTTTTGAAAATATTTTGAGACAAAAATTGTCGATTCTCCGATCCCGACATGGGTATGGGTGTGACCGATTTGAGTCACCGATCCGTTTTTTTAAACCTTGATATGGAGTGTCAAAATCTTGAAGAATGTCAGGTTTCCTGGAAACTCTGCCCTGGAACCTTAGACTCAAAAAACAAAAAAAAAAAAAAAAAAAAAAAAAAAAAAAAAAAAAAGAAAAAACCCTCCAATCATTCTCAGTTTCAAAGGCTTACATTTTCCAAACAGTTCAAAAGACATGAACATGGGTTCTTCAGTTTTGCAGACAATTACATCCTTAAACAACTACATTCCTTGTCCACCGCCCTAGAGTGTTGCGATATGCACATATTTGATGTCCTTCAAGAAATGGCAAACAAAACATACATGAATAGCAGGACATTGCAAGTTTCATGGCATTAGTAACGGAAGTACAAGAAGGGAAAAAAAAAAACATTGAACTCGATCAAAGCAAAAGGACGAAATCACAAGTAAAATGCCCCATACTTAATAAGGCGGGAGAATCATCATAGCATCCGAGCCTTATGCCAACTATTTGGGTTCAGCTACACGAATCCGGTTTTGCCATTCCGCTCTATCAAGGTCATACGCCCATACCCTCGATTAGACCATAAATCACCATATCTCTTCTCACTATTTCCATCCATGTTAATAAAGATGGTGAATGAAATGAAAAAAAAATTTTGATCGCAAAAACATGTTAGTATTTTTTAGCTCTTGAGTTCAGTCTAATATACTCTCCCTTGGGACAAAGTCTAAACTTGGCTTGCAAATCTTAGATTTCTAGATTTCTAGTTTTATCGAAGTCTACGGTATCGAGATAAATGCTCTTCATTCTGATTTTGCCAAAAATGTCAAGGCCCACATACCAAACTAAGAGAGATAACCTCGAACTTGGGGGCACAAGAGGTCGCATTTTTTTCAAAAGTATTAAGTGCCCCCAACTTGGAACAAGACCCAAGATGCACTAGGGTTCAGGTAAACATAATCCCAAGATACAACTAATTAGGTGAAATGCCTTCGAGTTTCTAGGTTGCACACTCTAAAACTCTTCTAAAACCACAGTAACACGCATTGATTTGCCTTCGAATCAGTGGATAAAATTCTATCTTTGGTCTAGTATGAGTCTCGCCAGATTAAGTAGCAATGATCTTGGTTTATATAGAGATCTCAATGGGTTGAGGAGAGAAACGGCTATTAGAAGAAATTTAGGGAAAAATCAACCCAAAATGAGAGAAAAAACGTGGTTTTTATAAGCTTATGGAGGACGGCATGTCACCTCAATAGTGTCAACCCACTTGTGTGGGTCCTTGTGATCCACAACAAGAACTGAGAAGTGAACTGTTAGAATTCCAACACTGACCTCTGAAAAACAAAACATCTATGTTCTGGCTAATGTGTTTTGTATCACAATATTTATATTGATGGAAAATTATATATTCCTTTCCTATTCTCGGCCATGTGATACGTTGTACTGTAATGAATGGAGACATTGAACTGTTCTCTTAAGGAATCTATTTGCCAAGATATTGTAAAGTTCCTAGGCTAGGTTGTCGCACTAAAGGACCTCCGCCATGGATTCACCCATATGACCGTGGAAGTTGGAAGCCACTTCCTATGATAATTGGGAATTGTCTAAATCATTCATGGAAATTAGAAATGAATGCAAGGCCTTATATTGCCCAAGCTCTTAAAAAATCATAATTTTCCAAAAGATAATGTGTGGTATATATGAGTCTTAGTGGCTTGATACAATCCAAGGTTTGTCCACTCATTGTCCTGATAGCATTTCATATAACACCACGTGGGGGACCTCATTTATGCATTTTTGTTTTTCTTAATTTGCATGAGGAGAGTATTTGGAGACAAGTTGTTTTGAAATAGGTCGGAGTTGTTAATTTTTTATAATGTGTTTTAAAACAACTCAGTTTTTTAGGAATTGCTTCTAACAATTTTGTTGCCTTGGTTCTCTGATGGTCTTGGGACCATGATCTTCATTTTAATTTTTATAGTCCAAGACTGCATTGTTCTATATGACCACACTTGTAATTGTGGACCACATGGACCACACAAGTGGTTAACATGGAGAGGACAAGTGTCACCATGAATATGACAAGTGCTACTCTGAAGGCGACACATCATCCCACATAACAATACAAAACCCCACTCTTCTCTCATTCTAGGTTGATGTTTTTCCTACTTTTCTCTATGACCTTCTCTCCTCTACTATTTTCTCGACCCATTGAGATCTCTTTGAAAGTAGAGGTCCATGCTGCCAATTTCAATGAGAATTATACCAGATTCAAAATAAAATTTTATATACCAATTGAAGGCAAATCAATTTATTATTGTGGTTTAAGAAGAGTTTCAAATGTGCAGCACAAAACCTGATAGTTACATCACATAAATGGTTGTATCTTCATAGTATGCTCACTTGAACCCGATTGCATCTTAGGTCTTTACCAAGCTGTGGGCTTTCAATACTTCAAATAAAGCGAGACCCTCTCACACCCCCAAGTTCGAGGTTAGAGTCCATCTTAGGACGAAATTTGGCTACATTCTCTCTTACTTTGTCTACACCTAAGCCTTTTGGCATAACGGAATCGAAGAGCATTGATCTTGATATCTTGGTATCTGGACCTCGTTAGCAGAGCCAGAAATCCAATATTTTCAGACCAAGTTTAGTAATCCAAGATTTTCAGGCCAAGTTTAGACTTCAGCCTACAGGAGACTATGTCAAATTGAACTTGAAAGCTCATAAATTCCAACAATTTCTAAGCTCACAAGTTCAAAAACATAATGTTAATAAAGATAGCAAATCAAATGAAAAAAAAAATCTTAATCCCAAAAACAATCTATATGGAGAGGGAAAACTCATGTAGAAGATCAAAAGTTTACACTTGATGAAGAATTGATGCAACACGAAGGGAAGAAAGCAGACAAACATAAAACCATAAACTAAAAGATCGAAAGATTATGCTCCCAGAGCTTGCGAGGGAATCCACCCCAAAACAAGTCTCTTCATGCCAAAAAACCAATATTCTTCTCTGTGTTCTTTTCATAGCGCAACACTTAACACGTTAATAGAAGAAATCCTAAAATCCACTTGCTCCATAAGGAACCTTGACAATATTAAATCCTAGGCCATCATCTTCCAAACTTAAACTTCCACCTCTACGGTTCATTTCTGAACAAGAACAAAAAAGTAAAAAAACACAAGTACCCTGAAATAACTAAAAAACCCAATAAACCTACTTTCCATATCCTAAAAATAAAAAAGCCTAACTGCATCAAGAATTGTCTTAATCAGGATAAAATCTGTGTGCAAGGTGTAAAGAAGAAGAAACACTTAAAATTTCAGAATTGTCAACAGATAGAAAAGGCAAAATAAATAAGAAAACAAACATATCCAAAAACATGATAGATTACACGTGATAATCCCACTGATAAGGACTTCCCAACTGCAATTCATTTCATGTGAACACAGCTCCATGAAATATACAATTCATTTCATCTTACCCTCAGTTTATCCAATCAGAACATATCAAGTAGACGAGACATCAGAGAAATAAAATGACTAAGAATGAGAACAATATGCTAAACCATCAAACATAAGTGGTTAACAGAAAATCGTATGAACATTCGCATAAAAAATAAAAGCAATTGCAACAATGTTTATAGATACTGGTATTGGTGCTACCATTTTTTTATTATCATTAATAATATCATTTATAAAGAACCCACTTTTATCAAAATAAGATAAATAAACCATTTGGCTAGCAGTCAAAACCATCTAAAGCACAAAAATCAAATGCAAAATTCAGTGATCATCCACTGACAAATCAATCAGGAAAAAATTTTTTCGTCATATAATTTGCCTACCAATCCAAACCCTTCATATCATGCAATAGCAAATAAAAGCTTACAATCAGTGGTGAATGGATCCCTCCACAAAAAAGCCATGAACATATTTATTATAAAACAACAATAAAAGCCGCATCTTTTTTGTAAAAAATGAGATATCTAACAAACCCACAACTACTTACCAGTGCATGACGCTCTCCAGCTTGAAAGGCCAGTTTCTGCTGATTTTGAGCCTGAGTATAGAGCAAAGACAGTGAATTTGCAGCGCTAGAAAAAGCCGTATACATGGTTCTCTCAATCTCATCCAGCCCATTGGATTCAGATTTCCTCTTCTTAGACATTATAGAAACCCTAATTTCTCCCCCAATTCCTTGCCCCCAATCTCTGCAAAACCCAAAGCCAACTCAATCTCAGCAAAAACCCAATTCAATCAATAGGAAGAAACAATAAAACCCCCTCGATGAAAGTCAAAATAGATCGAGAAATTCATAAATACCAGTAAATTTCTTCTCTTTTTTCCTAGTTTGCGGCATTACCTGATCAGTTGATACAAATCCCTACAACTAAGCTAAACGTCCATGAAAAACCATTTCTTGTTCTATCTTCTCTTGGGCTTGAATGAAAAAACGAGCTCAAATGGCCATGGATTCCATGGCCACAATTCATATATATGCTCGCTGCTGATAAATTTAGGGAAAGTTTCGTGTATAGAATCACTTTTTACGGTACACGATATGCCAAAAGTATAATATACACTTTCGTGTATGTAAATCACAGCAGAGTGGTGGAATCCACACCGTTTGTCTTATAGATCGAACGGTAAATATGAACTACAGTGTATACTCTAACACTCTATGTGTGGTGCTCTACCATCCGACGGGTGGTGCTGGTTGGTGTATGATACACAGTGGGGCAAGTGCACGGCAGAGATTTATCGTACCCAGCCTTAATAAGAATGGAAGGTCATCTCCATCGTCCATTTCACTGTGCTGGACGCTGTGGTACATGCATTCAGGATAACGATAAGCTTTTCACTTTCTTGTTTGTGTATGTTTTCCAATTCTTGACTATGAAAAGGCATTAAAGCTAATGACTCTCCTGTTGTTTACAATGAAATCCAAGGAGAACCCTGGCCCATTTTATAACTGGTAGAAGTTTCTATAAGGTTGTAACCTTATATTATGTCGTAGAAGTAAGGTGCACTTCGAAAATTCAATAGAAAAGAGTGTGTTTTAAAGTTAGAAAACCTTTTAATTGTTCACTTCAACCTTGAGGATGTATCTACATGTCTACATACTACATTATTAAGTTAGAGTTAAGGAGTGGATATATATTGTAAAAATAAAAAATGACTCTATACATAAAAATAAGGTAATGTATATGTTGTATAAATAAACAGAGTTTAAGATTTGGTAACTTTGTATTTAGATAAATTAAATTTATTTTTTTGGAGAGATGAGTGATTGTGATGGAAGCTATGTAGAGAAAAGAGAGAGATGAGGAAACTTTGACAGAGAATGCGGGAGATTTAGAGATTTTTATAGAATCTTCTGTGTAGTAGAGAAGAAAATGTATAGAGAGATTCTAGCAAGATATATATTTCTAATATGCATAGACATAACACTAAAATATGAGAATGAAATTGGGGTCTTGGTGGTAGCACTACTTGTGCCCTATCTAAAGTCTAGGCTTCCATTCTAAAAAAAAAAAACACTACAAATATGAAACATTATCGTACCAGATAATTATTGTACCAGATACAGGCGTGTTGCTTGATATTGGCTTAAAGGGCACCTTATTTATTTATTTTTTTTATTATTTTAATTTTTTATGTGTTTATATTTTATATTAAAATGTATTATTGCTTTATTTATGTCTTTGGATGATTTCTTTTAGTTCTTCTATCTCATTACATTCATATGTGCAATGCATGTTAATGTACAAGTAGATATAAAGAAAAAAATAACTTCAAATTTAAACAATAGTGCATCGTGGAATACGTTATTTGGAACGTCTATTTTCAAGATTTTCAAGTGTTTATAGATATATTCCATCTCTATCATTTTCTGAATTTTTAATATTAGAACTAGGGTCGAGAACAAATTTTCAAGCTATCTTAAGGTTTGTGATATTTAAACTACATTGCCAACCAAAATCTAAAGGCTTTACTTCTAAGTACAAGGCGGCAACCTTATGTAAACTTCACCCTTTATATTAAGGGAAAATATCTTGTCAGCCCACTAGCAGATAGTTAAAGTGTAAGCCCAATGGCTAAAATTGATTATGCTCCGATCCAATGGTCACGATTGTATTTTGTGTTTGAATTTGAATTTTTTATATAAGTCCACATTACTTAACATTTTGTTTATCTACTCTTGAAAAATATGAGAATCTAATGAAAATATTGAAAAAAATATTTCGTACATAATAAATTGACCAAAATATCCCTAAAAAATTCGGAGGTATTTTGGTGAATTTTTTTACAAATATTTTTTTTAGGTGCGTCTTGATGCGAAAAATAAACGTCTCAAATTTCATGTAATTTGGATTCATATAGAAACTATTAAAATTATATTACGAAATGAGGTTATAGCCAGATCAGCCAAGGGCTGTTGGGTTACACTGTAGCTACCGGATGGTGGACTAACCTCAAATTCTCCCTTATATTTATACGTGCAATATTGTTATCATCAAAGTATTGAAACAAATTTATATAAAGTTGTTGCCTTATACAGACAATTATGGTGCACCTAAAAAATCCAGATAAAAGAGTGTTTCGAAGTTGGAAAACTTCTAACTGATCATTTCAATCGCGAGATATCTGGACCATCTATTTTAAAATGTTTATAGTTCTGATCAATATGCATTTGTTTTTAAATTTGAAATTTCATAATAAGCTGAACATAGATGTTTAAGCTGTAATAAGGTTTCAATACTAGAACTATATCTTCCGGCACAATTTAGATGTTTAAGAAGTGTGCCTTACTTGTAAGATGCGCACGTTATACCTCACCCTTAGGTATTGCCCACCCAAAAGAAAAAGAAGTGGTTTTGGTGTGGCCACGGCCTTGTGAAATGTGGAAAGACTGTACTTTAAATCATGCCTAGAAAACCATATCTGGTGTCAAAAATAGGGGATGCTTGGTAAATTTATTTTCCCCTTTGAAATTTGAAATTCAAAGGTAGTGCAGATCTAGCGGACATGTAAATTCATAAAACTATCAGCCTAGAAGAAATATTGTGAGAGGATTTTTGTAATGCTTGAAATTTAATTTTTAAAAAATAAAAAATAAAAAGTCTTGACCCATGATCATCAAGGTGGCGATAATTGTAGGGTCTTAGGGAACGTCTCGCTTGTAGAACTAAGAATCCCAAATACTACAATCCTACACAAGATCGTATATATAGTTGACTACGAGAAAAATCCATGAATACAACATAAATCGAGTGTAAAGAATAAAGCAAACAAAAATCTTATCACAATAATACAAGATTTACGTAATTCATTTCACAGGGCTACATCCACGACCTTGGCAAGTATAAATCCGTTTATCACAATGAATATTACAATTTTGGATTACAAGAGATATACATGTCTTTAAACATCGACAAAAAACCTCATTGATATTTTCTTCTAAACCGGTTCTCTCGATCGAACAACACCATCGATCAATCTCACATTTCCCACCGCTATATTGTTACTGGAAAGAGCACCTTGAGATCAACCGATAACCTTTATCTTTAGAAGTGCAAACTTAATCAACCCATAATTCCCATAGGAAAATAGCCTCTCTCTATGAGGCTACGCCTCTCTCTTTGATACCCATATATTTCATTCCCATGACTCTTAAAAAAAGCGACCATAATACCTTTAATCTTACGAAGAAAATATAGGTATAGTATTTGGCCATCATCAAACCCAATAATAAGCTTCTCAAATTTCTGATAGCGGCACTGTGTTTTTGGGTAAGATTCGAGGTACAAGTTTGTAAAGTTGTGGCTCTGCATAATACACTTCCTAAGGACAAAATCATAAAAGCATAAGAAGTGTAGTTCTATACATGCATAGAACCCCAGTGACCCAGGCATCCTCAGTAGCAGAGGTGCAGATAATCTCTATTGCTTGCCCTAAACGACAAACTATAGAAAGCTAATATGGTGGTTACTACTCTTACTAAGAAAGCCGCAATTTTATTGGATGCTATTGTTTGGCGATCTAGACCGCTAGATTTCTCTCTCTTAATAATTTGGCACAATTGCACTAATCTAGAGTTGTAAATTTATAAGGTGTATTTGATTCCTATTATTAATGAAAATCGGGTAGAGTGCTTTCTCCCCCACTGATTTACCCCAAAAAAAAAAAAAAATATAGAAAGCCATATATGTAAACTATACATCTGCTACAGTGTCAACTGTAGAGAGCCATATGTGTAGCATAGTATAGCTATGTTGAATGTCTTGCTTGTGTAAGGAAAGGGGTTGGGGTAAGGAAAGGGGTTGGGGTCGTGGTGGTAGCATCCACACACCCAGTTACCGCATCGTGGTATCCATTCCTACCGTTGACACCACCAATTAACACCTTCAAAATGTAACTCCCTAATGTATTGAAAAAACTGGTAGGGACATGTCTTTTCCACTAAATTACCCAAAAAAAAAAAAATATCTTGCTTGCCTAGTGTAGAATACATGAGAATGGGGATGACAGAGCCATGTCTCTAGCGAGAGTATGAGCATATTGTTGCTTGTTACCGCATCGTGGTATCTATTCCTAACGCTGACACCACCATTTATAATACCTTCAAAATGTAACTCTCTAATCTATTGAAAGAACGGATAGGGGCATGTCTTCCCTACTAAATTACCCAAAAAAAATAATATCCATTCCTACCGCTGACACCACCAATTAACACCTTTAAAATGTAACTCCCCTAATCTATTGAAAAAAAGGGTAGGGGCATATCTTCCCCATTAAATTATCCGTAATCTATTGAAAGAACGGGTAGGGGCATGTCTTCCCCACTAAATTACCCAAAAAGAAAATGTATCCATTCCTATCGCTAACACCACCAATTAACACCTTCAAAATATAACTCCCGAATGGGTAGGGGCATGTCTTCCCCATTAAATTATCCCTAATCTATTGAAAGAACGGGTAGGGGCATGTCTTCCCCACTAAATTACCCAAAAAGAAAATGTATCCATTCCTACCGCGGATACCACCAACTAACACCTTCAAAACATAACTCCCGAACGGGTAGGGGCATGTCTTCCCTACCAAATTACCCAAAAAAAACATGTATCCCTTCCTACCGCTAACACCACCAATTAACACTTTCAAAATGTAACTCCCCTAATCTATTGAAAGAACGGATAGGGGCATGTCTTCCCCACTAAATTATCCCAAAAAAAGAAAAAAATGTCTCGCTTGTATAATGTAGAATACATGAGAATGGGGTTGAGAGAGCCATGTCTAGAAATTTTACTTGGGATTATTCGTGAATTTTGGTTGTTGTTAAAGTTTAAGGGGCAGTATTTTTAGAATAAATAAAATAAAATGAAAAAGAGGGAAATTTATTTAAAATATCTAAACCATTTAACATTTTAAATCTACCTTCTGATTTGATTTCAAAATATCCATAAAAAGATATGTGATTATGAGTCGGAATAGTTGCAATTGGGTCATATGTTAAAATTTT